CCCCTCCCCTCCCCTCCCCTCTTAATATTTCTCCCTCTTTTCTCATATCACTTTGCATTTTCATTGGCCACTCTGTAATGCTACTAATTTCTCGCGATCTTGTTTATTCATAGAAAGCTTCTGTGCGGTTTTCGACAGACCGAAAGCAGAATAACTGAGATGATAGAGTTTCTTTCAAACTATGTATCTACCTTTACACCCGACTTTTTCCCCTACGTAACACAGTGTCTGTCTATGATTTACAACGTGCACCATACAAAATCAGAGGAGCAACAGTCCAACCTAAAGATCTAAGCGTAGAAATCGACGATTCTGTAAACGTCGGGAGATACACAAAGAAATCAAGAAAGTGCCTCCTTTTTCCTTAAAACTTACCGAAGCTTTTAACGTTCTCATATACAGGGTGTTTCAATAATTATGGTACGACCGAGGGTTGCGACAAGAGGGTTGATTCTACGTGAGAAAAGTAAACTCGAGAGTACCAGTTATTTAAATCGATCGAGATCTTTGGTATCTTTAAATTTCGCGCCAGCGCGAAAAAATCCACGATCTAATAATTATAAACCAAAGTCACATATATCTGCTAAACAAATATCCAGAATTCGACTTGATCAAGGATATTTCACTCCACATCTTGGATTGATTTTTCCACGCAGTCTCATCTCCTACGTGATTACCGAAGCACTCTGTGTTTCTATAAATATAGGCTCTACGGTGTCGCGGTACGAAATGTTAAAATTCCGGATCGTCGGAAGATAAAAAAAAAAAAAAAAAAAAAAAAAAGAAAAGAAAAGAAGAAGAAGAAAAAGGAAAAGAAAGGGATGCGCAACGTCTTTGGATTCGTGGAGGTACCCGTCGTCGGCGATCCTAACGTAATTGGACCCCAAGACGTAACAACGTTTTCAACGTCTACCGAGGAATTCCGGAGGATAGCTTTTTGTTCGAGTTGCGTTTCTCTGTCCAGTCGGTCCAGTCGAAAACACCAAATAGATACTTTTATGGAGGGCTATAAACGTTCTGAATCGAGTATCGATGGTTCCAAAGGGGCTAATCTGCGGATGAAAACTGTAATAAAACGTCTCGCCCTTGCATGTATCTGAAATCCTTTTGCAGTAACGCGCGCCCTTTACGTGCTCAGGTAGCATCCTCGCCTGAAAATGGAAAACTGTTATATCTGTGTCTTAGGTTAGTTTCGGCGGTGAAACTTCACGAGATTATGCACCTCGCATTCTCATTGTACAAACGTAGTATATTTATGTACTATACGCAATAAAGCATCTGAGAAAGAAAATGATACTTTTCTAAAAAACGAATAAGCTGAATTTCGAATTCAGAAGCGTTACGAAAATTGTACAGAAAGATTTTTAATAGATTCTTAATGATTCTTTTTTTAATAGATTCTTTTGCATTGTTTTGGCATTTATAATTTTCTGTAATTAATTAGAGAAAAGGTGATGGTGGTAAAATGGAGAACGAATTATTCTACGAAGAGTTTTCATTAGTGTTGGCAAATATATTTGCAAATGCGATAAATAAATAAATAATCTTGACGAAAGATAGTATTTATGTGTCAAGAACAAAGTTTAATGAGCATGAATTTAGTACCAAAGGTCCAAATTTATTTTACGTAAGAGATTATTTTCAGTCTTTCGCTCCAACTTATTTATATGTATTTGTATAGCAATTAATTTTTGAAGTTTTTAAATGAATTTCAATTTCAATTAGTTATGATTTAATTAACCATTTTTATCTTTAATTAAAAAATTTCAATTAATTAATTGATAAATTTATCGCGTTAAATTGTAAATGGCGCTAAAATCCATTCGCTGTTTTTCCTGGTATCGGTAATATAGAAAAAACAAAATCGGTAATACAGAAAATGATGCTAAAGTCAAAGTAAGTAAAAAGGATATAACAATCAATAGGAAGTGATATAACAATCAATAATCTAAAAAACAGACTTATTTGTGATAATCGACAATATCACAGACGAAATATATGACCTTGTCTGTGCCTGTGGTAATACATATCTAAGTCGATACGGTAGGACGTGACACGAAAATGGCAAGAGGGTGACTATCAAAACATTGGACACGAAAAAGCATTGTTTATCCGGTCATCCTTGGCCCGGTATATTATAGATACATCATGGTAAGGACAAGTAATGAAAATAATAAAATAATAATTAAATAAAATAATAAAATAATAAAATAATAAAAATATTAATTTTTTGATTAATATACTTTGACATTGCTGTATTTTTTAACTACAGAATACATTCTCGTGTCACATCCTGTCGTATTTCATCAATGAAGGAATGTAACAATTTAAAAGAGGCTCATGAAAATTAGGATGAAAAAATTAGGATTAAAAATATATTCGACTATTAACATTCATTTAAAAGTATTAGAAAAAATTGTTCGAATTATGATATTTTTATGAGTAATATAATTAGATATAGTGTTACTTATAAATATGTAATAATTCACAGCCTGAATAAATTACTTTTGAAAGACTTAACTTATCAAAAAAATATTTCTACAAATAGTTTAAAATAAAGAAGCACATTGTGTGTAAATTATTTCTTCTAAATCATGTGTTTCGAAATTTCGAAGTTAAATTTATTTTCTTAAATGATACCATACGTTTTGATAAATTCTAATTATTCTAATTATTATAAAGTCTATTTAATTAAAATAACTGATTGATTTATAATTGTAATATAGTTGATTTGAGAAAATTACACTCTGTATGCCCGCCATTTTATACATTAATTAAATATAGCACTCTTTCTTGTCAGTTAAGCAAATCTGTGCAATATTCAAATGATGACATACGCAGAACATATTCAAATTTGTTCGTGATTGTTACGATTAAATATTAAATAAACATTATCAACTGTCGAATAAAAAAAAAAAAAAAAAACGTAAATATGTCTGCCTTCATTAGAATAAGTCAAATGTAATAATACCTTCGTAAAAAGTTCTTGGATTTATTTTTGATCGTCGTGGTACTCTTTAAATACTTCGAAGTTTTCCCCGCAATTACAAGCATTCTGTACAAAAGAAAATCAAAACTTTCAAATACATGCATAAAAGAAACAAAATAAATGAAAAGAAAAACAATGTTAACATATCATATACGTTAAAAATCATATACATTAAAAACAAGGTTAACTGTCATTTTAAGAGTTCATATGTGCTACCCATAGATGTAATGATCAAAAAGTCGATTGAAGGAACAAAGATAATTTAGTTATAAATTATAATAATATTCGATGAATTATCAAAGGAAAAAATAAAAACATACATTAATTAAACGAAGTTGACAATAAATACGGAAGATGAAAGAATGATGAATGAATACGCAGTTAATAAATGCTGCGCAAAGTGATACATCTTAACACTATGACTGTAGACAACAGACTAACTTCTCCGCGCGTTGCGTCACGAACTAGAGGGGGAAGGGCTCCGACATAAATGCGCGCGTTAATTTAATTTGATTAAATGAACGAAATGGAATACAATTATATTTTTTAATAGAAGCAAAAGTAGGAGAAAATTAAAATGATATATTATATCAGTTTTATAAAAGTTTCGTACTTTATCATTCATTCTAGCGTTTTTTTTGCCGTTCTATGCGATCTGCACGCGCATTTTGTCTGATTTGAAATAAAAACGCTTTAGTTACTAAATTCTTCAATTAAAAAATCTTTAATAATAGTAATAGTAATAAAAAGGAAGTGATTGAAATGTAATTTTGAAGTAATTTTCTTTATATTTGTGTCACATGATTAAAGAACTATAAGTAAATTCAAAATATAAATAAATTATTCAAATTTACATGATTTTGTCACAATATAAAGATTATAGAAAGCACATGCAGAAATATCTATAATGAAAAAGCAAAAGAAGAAAGATTGAACATTTCATTAGCGCAATTTTTTTTCACAATTATAATAAAATTTCTGTAATTGTAATGAAACGGTGCAACTTGTACTATTAAATTATTTCATGGTATTTATAACAAAAATTAAGGTTGAAATCACATAATACATTAATACATTAACAACAGGAGACTAATCATATTTCATGGTCTGTATGTATTAGTTTTGTGATAAACTATGATAGTAACGATCCTTTCACAGTAAAAATATGTCAAGGAAAGCTTGTTATATAAAGTAAAATTGATAAAAACATAGTAACATACATAACAACTTGTATAATCAAATTACTACTTAATCACCTGTCGATAATGTATTAACATGAACCTTTATTTTCGTTATACTATACTTTTATATTTATCTAAAAAACTGACATAAAATATATTCACAATATATAAGCTGATTACGAAAAACAATTGTAAATTTTAAAGCATATTTACATAATTTCATTCTCCTTTTTCACAAAATAAAAAATTCCTACTACACAGTAATATAGCAACTTTCCCTTTATATAGATTTTGCTATTTTATATAGTTATTTTGATTTTTATACATAATTTAAAATTTTTATATGAAAGTAAAAAATGTGTCACCTTTTCATTGTAGGCAAATAACTTATATTCGAGCAAAATTTATATTACGCACTTATAAAGATCTATACTGTCTCGCTATTTAGGAAACCTTGTACTCTGTTACAATAGAGTAGCACAATAAAATTTTAATTTACAATTATTAATATATATCATACTTAGAGATTATGTCTCCTGGTAGAAATAGTACAAATATTTTGCATAAGATCTTACTAACAAATTTCATTCTGTAAACTTAAACCATTTCTTTTTATAATCAAATATTTCTATCAAATATTTGTAAAACACAGTCGAAACACAGTTGAAATTCATTATCACAATTAAATATTCTCCAGATGAGAAATCTATCATTCATCATATTTTGGCAGTTAATGCAAAAGCAGAATAATTTTATGAAATATGCCTCTTCTGTTTGTGTATTGTTACATTAGTTGAATATAATTTTATATAATAAATTGTACGATATTAGCTAACTCTTCAGAAAGCGTTTCTTCTAAACATGAAAGCAAGTATCATTGTCATTCATACGTAAACTCTATTTCTCTTATTGCTCAAAATATAGAATTATAATCAGAATAGAATACATAATTAGTATTGTGCGATAGAATTATATTTTTGAGCTCTCAATAAATCTCGTTTGTGATGATTTATTCATCGAATACTTCCAAGCGAGAACCACTCAATTATTTCAGTTGTTAAATCGAGACGTTCAAGTGGTAAGCGTATTCCACCAAGAAATTCATTTTCTTGTAGTGTATCATGATTCCATATTGTAGCTTCCAAAGTTCTCTCTTTAATCACATCTAGAGACATTCTGTACTCCAACTGTAATGAAGAAATGTACATCTAAGAACTTTAATTGAAACAAAAAAGAAAAACAGAAACAGTTTAGCTAAATTAATTACCATTTCCATGAATGAAGGATGACAATTTTTCTTCACAACCTTTGTTTTTCGTTTTGTTTTCTTTGTAGGATCAGGTTTAAGATATACTTTAACATACGTATTTGGTTCTTGACAATTCGCTACTTTTGGTAAACCTCTAGCATGATAGACCATCACGTAAAATGCTCCACGTGTATAGTGAAGAGACATTTTAATTTGTCCGCTTTGTACATTATCTCTTACAGGTTTCTCAGCCCACCAATTACCAACTAATTAAGAAAAAATAAAAAACAGTTAAGATATTCGCATTCAAATATTATATATTATCATAGTTAGGAAACTTCTTTGTACCTTTTACTTTACGTAAATGAATGTCAGCATTCTGTTGATCTCTTAACAAAGGATGAAAGAAAGTATATACCAAATCGCTTTGAGAAATTTCTGGTGCCATCTTAAATAAGCTTACAAGAAATTTCTCAATATCCGCTCGTCGTTTATCAGCAACTTGCTTTATGTTAGATCTTCCGACACTTATACCACTTGGTAAGCTGTGTAAAATATTCACTTGTATTATCATAATGCTATCTATATATTTTACAAATATCATAATGCTATCTATATATTTTACAAATAAATAGAATCAACTTTTCAATGAGTTGTGATTAATTACGATTACTCATAAAAATTAGGTAAAATATAATCTTTTTCTTGTAAATTTGACTATAAAGAACAGTTTTTCATATCAAAGATTTTAATCTGATTAGATAGTATGAAACAAGATAGCATTAAAATTCCGATATCATGTTATAAAAACCTATTAATCAGTAGCAACAATAAAAAACAATTTCATTTTATGTTTACACTTATTGGAGTTTGCATTACTTGTCTATTCGTTTGAAATACTTGAATATAAATTCTGTACTAAAGAACAGGTATGTACTATTATTAAAAATATATGTGTGTATGTACGTATACACATATACATATAAGATTTAATTCTACATTCTTTTAGAAAATAATATCAAATAATTAAAAATGGGCATTAGAGGCTTCCGTGCTCAAATAACAATACAAAACACTTCATCTAAAACATCGACTGCACCAGAATTTTATCGAAAAATATCTCAGAATGCATCACAATCACAGAAAAATATAATTGATATTAAAAAAACTGTTGCTATTGATATTAAACAATCCAAGTCTTCATCTTAACAATTGCATTCAATATGCAAAATAATTTGAATTATTAAAAATAAAATCTCCTGGATGGTATAGATAAAATTAAATTACTATATATAATTCTACAGGTATGAATCACATATGATATATGAATCACTCACATTGTTATTGATTAATAATTGTAATATGTACGTTTATATGTATTGTATAAATATACGTTGTGTTAAAATATAAAAATGAAATAATGTATATTTTACTTACCTAGCAAGTTTTGCAAGAGGAAAATGAATACACAATTTTTGATAAAATTCACAAAATTCCTTATATGATCGAAACAAATAAGTAGGATCCGCATGGCCCTTTCGTTGTATACGCAAAATATACATATAATATTTTTCAGGATCATATCGTTTTTGATAGCCATGTACTTGTACACTCGTCAATTGACCTTCCTGCTGCATTCTATAACAAGTGCAAATGCAATCTCAAATTCCAAAAAATATAATCTCAAATATCAAAAAAATATATTAACAAACTTACGTATATGTACGTGGTATGAAAGACAATAATGCTCCATCATTATGATCGCCCGAGAATCTGAGTTGTGCTAAATTATGCAAAAAAAAGTTAAACTGTGTAAACCAACTTTTAAGTGAACTTTCTATCATTCGAGCAAATGTTGCAGCTGCTTCAGGATTTGTTTGCTCTGGAAGAAGAGCTTTCTGTACATAACTAATTGCATCCACAGTCACACCAGGAATTCCAGACGAAGTCATCTGCGAATTTGTATAATTATTCATTTTAGATTTATTTACTAATTCTTTGATTTCGATATCATTAAGCTTTTGTTGTATGACACGTAATTTATATAAATTAGTCATATTATTTTTCTGAGACAATAAACCGTTCATTTTTGAAACTTATATTTTTGTCTTTGCCAAAATCAAGTATATTAAATATTTATGATATTTAAAATTAATATTATAACTTATGACATGTTTGCTTTACACATAATTGATTAAGACTGCTGCATTATTCGATACTACGGGAGTAGAGATAATAAACATAACTACATACAGTATATAATTTAGCGTGATAAGCGGACCACTTTCTGATAAAACAAGTGGATAAGTCCTTCCGTTGTGGTTTTATTGTTCTCATATATATTACCAAGTTAAAAATATATTTTCATTTTCCTTTCTTTAAATTTAATTACTAACAATATTTCGGTATAAATTTTGAAACTATAATGATATAAATAAACATACCAATCCAAATAGATGGAGAATTAGATTTCCATGTTTTCGTACTACGTTAAATGCTTGACAACATAAGTCGACAAAATGATGAAATTTAGCTGATGGCTTGTCTCCACCATTTATAACATAAGCCATATCAGATGTTAATACAAATGGTGTCCTGTCTCTGATTAGGAACATGAAGGATTATAATTTATTATCATAGTATTTATAAATAAAAACATACCTTTTAAAATTTCCAAACATTTGCGCATCACCTAAGAATTTTCCAAAATCAATATGAAACAGATGACCTGATGTTTTTAACATAATATTGTCATTGTGTCTATCACAAATTCCTAAAATATATGTAGCAACACTATAACCCGCGCAAGATGCAGTAAAATTTTCTACTGCTCGTTCATATTCTAACTCTGAAGGATTATGCTTCGCCAACCATTCGGCAATAGGGCGATCTTTAAACGATCCAGTTAGGCCGAACTCAACTTGTATTTTTCTTAGTGTTTCTGCATTTGTAACCATTTCTATCATTCCACGTTTATAGCCGGTAGGCACGCAGGCAAATGTTACCATTTTAAGATCAAGACCTTCCTTTAACCAGAGTTTATCCATTATGCGCATCATTTGGAGAGTTAACATATCTTGTTGCAAATCATCTCCAACCTTCAAAATAATTTTGAATATAATAGAATATATCTCAATCAACTGTAGATACTGATTTATATTGTAGAACTTACTTTAAAAATTGCTGGGCAAATCACATCATCACAGCTAATGAAGTTGATTTTCAATGGAAGAGTAAATGACGGAAAATATGAGCAACTTTGTACATTTATACCAAATACTTGTTTACTAGGAGATAATGGTAAACAAGTACCATCATCTTCCATTAATTGACAATGTATATTTTGCAAACCAACTTTGAGCGCATCCAGTCGTAATGATTCCTTTGTCTGCTTAATATTTTCTGCTACTTCATGTAAATTCTGGAAAATTACATATATTGAAAG